CATAGACACAGATGCACACACAGAAACACATGTGCGTGTATGTTAGAGGTTTCTATGTCTGGCACAGTATATCATCTTTTGATAGACCATGGTACCTAGATACAGATTTTTGTGGTATGAATCACATCAGTCATTCCACTGTGTTTACAAGTGTTACCTGTAAGAATAAGGTGAGCAAGATTTGGCTTGCGTTTGGGGGGGAAATGCCATCCGTATCAGTAGTTCAGCTCAGTTTTGTGTTTGCAAAATTAATTTACTAGAGCAACCTCCGGACCTTTGAGTCCAACCATCTTCCCAAAGAAGGAGCCCTAGAGCCATTGTAGTTTCTTTTATGAAAGTAAGCTGTGTTTTATTTGTTCCTGCAAGATCAATGGTTTTGTCCATTTCATCGGATAAAATGTAAGGAGGGCCTCATCCTGTCATAGTTGTAAACTTAAAATTTCAGTGAATGTCTGTGAACCAAACCCTGTTCAGCTTACTCACATGGGTATCAGCTGGCCTTGATTGATTTTACTTCCCAGTTATAAATAAGAAGCAAATTCCTTATGGTTAATTGAGTTTTTAATATCACCTGAAAAAGCAGTGTGAGATCAGAATCAGCCCTAGCAGGACTACACACACTCACAAAAAATTAGCCAGACTTCGCCCAGGGGAAATTCTGGGGATACAAAGTAAGAATTGCAATTTAACAGAAGGTTATCCTACATCAGAATTCTCTGTTACAACATCTCTGCTCAAGAAATCCTGTAGCAGTTAAAAACTCTTACAGTTTCCACCAGATCTGCAGCATCGACAAAAGAGTAACGCGTCAGATTTGCTTTGTATACCAGGAGACTCTTGTCTTTTCTCTTACTCTTTTCTAGATTTAGCAAAATTCAGTGGTGATGCTAAATCAATTTTTTTTTTTTTTTAACTTTCAAGGGAAAAAACACTGGCAAAATTGTGTTTTCTAGGGAAGGCTGTGTGTGTAAATGAGAAACAGTGGATAGCAGTGGAGTGATCTCCTGTGGCCCTGCTAGTACAAGCTTTCCCCATATTGTCTCCTGCTTTTATATTAATTACAACTTGCATTATCAGCTGCGAGTCTGTAGCCCAGCAAATAGAAAATACTGCCCCTGGAGACCTAGCTTCTTGTATCTATTTTCCATCTCCTTCTATTGTGCTCTACTCAGTATTCACTGCTTTTCTCCTGGTAACACTGCTCTTTAACACAATTAGGTAAGAGCAAGAGGAGCACCGTATTTGACTCCCAATTATTAAAACTACTGGGAATAGATACATGTGTGCTGTTTACCTTCTATGGTAGCTGGCATTAGTTTAGGTCATATGTGTGTGAAAATTGTATAATATGCACACGTACACAAAACAGGCAATTGTATTTTGGCAGACGCCATCCTCACTCTTCAATGTGTTTCTGCAAAGTGTATTACTAAAACTTGCAAGAAGATATGAGAAGCCATGCTAACAGTTTGTGTAATTTATCTAAAGCTAACTGTTTTTCTGTTTGTTTGTTTGTTTTTTCACAGTGTGATACCTTAACACAAATTTCATTGAAATGAATAGAAAAATTGCCATTAATGTTAGCGGGATTTAGATCAGGATCTCTCTGGATACCTGAACTATACTAAGAAAGCATTTCTAGTAAAATATACTTTAGATGTGTCATTGAGATCCATTTTTTTTTTGGTGAAAACATACATAAAATAGCTACTTATGATTAGGCATTTGGCCAAGAAGTTTTTCATGAGGGATGAAAAGTCTAGGGGAGAAAAAGAGAAGTTTGTTCACACGTACAATGATCTTAGTCCAAAGCAAAAGAATGCTGCCTTCTTGTGAGGCTGCAAACTCCACCCCTAGAGTTATTTGTCATTTTTTATAATATTAAAGCCTAGCTATTTCCCTCCCTTTCAAATTCCTCCAACATTCTGCTGTCACATCTTGTAAATATCCCATCTTATTATTTCTGTCCTTCAACAAAATTCTGCCAAATTGTTTCCTCAAGAAAACTGTGTCACAAGAAATACATTGAATTCCCAATCAATACAGTCTGTCTTTCTAAAACAGGATCTAGAAACTGAGGTCAAGAACAACTCAGCCTGGTAGAGACAGCAAGTGTTTTCAGCTGCGGGAAGTCTTATTCAGTCATCCTTTCCAAATCATTACGGTTTTGAAACAGAAAGGCCGGTCTAGCTTTTGAAATACTGTATGATAGGTTTTGGACGGCATTTGCCTTAAAACATAGCTGAGGTGTTACCAGTTAATTATTGTAATTTTCATATGCGTGATAAGGAGCTCCAACAGCAGCCAGCTTAAGAGAGCCCGCAGTGCATAAAATTAACATAACTCACTGTGTTCCCGGAAAAGTTTAGCCTAGGTGAACATGTTACAATTATTACATTTTCTAAAAGAAGGTTCCAGCCTGATGTTGTTGGAGGGCTAAACTCATGCTATGCTATTGTTTCTTTCCTTTTTCATGTATTTCTTCTAGCTCTTTATCTGATTACCATCCGGCAAACAGCTGACGCTAAGAGGCTGCAGAGGGCTGAAGAGCTCCTGTCTGCTGTTTGCCTTCAGCTTGAAGCTATTTGAGTGGCTTCCTAACTCAGAGATAAAAAGAGAACCTCATAGGCACAACTGTGTTTTAATCCAGGCTGTAAAGAAACTTGCTTGGTTTTTGCATTTTACTTCCATCTGAACTTTTTGCTAACCTTATTTTCAACTTTTTTTAGTTGGTGGTTTGTTTTTTTTTTTTAATAACTTCTGGGCTGATTGAACTTTCAAGACTTCTTTCTTTTTGTATTTCTTTCCACCTGATTCTGTAAAATGATAGCAAAATGGGGTGGTGTTTTTTGGTTTTTTTGGGTTTGTTTTTTTTTTTTTTAAAATTACATTGTGGGGAGTTACAGTAGTAATAGTGATTTTTGCAATCTAATTAATACAAAAATCTCAATGAATATAAAATACTATTGTTTGGTGGGTTTTTGTTTTTTTGTTTTTTTTTTTTTTCTCCTCCCTCCTGCTGAGATTCCATGTGAGGAAAGCTAGATCAGACTTCTAGGTTTTGGAGGGGGTGGTGGTTTAGTGCCATAAGTGCTGTCATGCTGTCTCTTGCATTGATAGGTTAGGTGAATTTCAGATCCTGGCCTGTCTTCTGATTTTACTCATCTCTTCCTGCCGTGGAACCACATACGTGGGCGCACGTGTGCGCCTGTGTAAGGTGAAGGGGATTTGGATCCTTCTTACCCTTTGGTCACCTAGGGCTTTACCGGGAACCCTTTGAAGTCATGGGCTCTTCCCTTTGTCTCTGCTGTGATCTGGGTCAGGCCCGTTAGATTTATGTTACTGGGTATTGTAGCAAGCCGTTATTTGGCAGTTATATTTTGCGTTGCTATAGACCATGTGGTAATGATCAGTGCTAGGAGATTACTTTGAGATGTTTCAATATATATTTTGGGACCTGATTCTAATCACACTTACACTGAATTTTACAATGGGTAAATCAGTTGATTTTGTTGAACTTATTCCTACTACACGTCGGGGTAGATGAGGTCAGAATCAGTCCTGCTCAAAGAATTTATCCAAAGTTGTCACTTGCTGCTTTCAGGATCTCCTCGTGCTTTGGCAGTCTGGTGTTATTTCACAATGCAGATTTAAAACACGATCAAACCTAAGATGCATTTTTTTTTTTTTTGAGGGGGGATTTTTTTTTTTTTGCTTGTTTTGTTGTTGAATTATTATAACGTGCTTGATTTAAGTTGTCATATACAGGTGACAAGTAATGCAGGTCCAGCCCCTAGTCTGATCTGTTTCATGTGTTCTTGCTCTCCTTTTCTGCCAGAGGAAATTCCATCTCTTGCCTGCCTTCATGTGGTGCTGATAAAGCTCTTCCTGTACAGTAGAATTCCTGTTTTCCTTTAAGCAACAGCAGGGTATTGGGAATGATCAGGAAAGGGGAGGAGGACAGGAGGAGAATACACTCAACAAAGTAGCACTAAACTGTAACATTAAGTTTTCCTCACTTACCCTTTTAAATAGCAGCTCCTCGCTCCAGGAAAGCCAATACTCAATAAATTAGAAAGCTCGCATGAATTATGTGACTAAAGTACAGTAGTTGAGGTCTTACTTAGCCAAGTTTTGCAAACTTCATATGTCTGCGTTCTCTTTTGTTGTTTTATGCATAGTAATGTAGAAAGAATTACATAAAAATCACTATACATGTTATTTTATATAATCACCTGGTGGTTATTCTTGACAATACTTGTAAGCGAACTGTTAGAGTGATACATCTAGAAAGTATTTTGAAATGTGTCATATCAAGGTGGTGGTTGGGGGGGGGTGTGTGTGAGGAAGCGTCTTTCCTGGTATATAATGTCTTTCAGAGAAAGCTGGCTTTTTCCCCTCATGACTTTGCATTTGCTTGAAGTTTTTCCAGTGTTCAAACGGGTGAGAGAGAGAGAGTAGGGTGTGAGGGCACACTCCTCTCCCATGCACGTTCTCCTCTACCTCTTGAAACAGTTTCCCTCTTCTTCCTTTCCCCTCCTATCTCTAGTCAGTCCGGAAAAACAAAGTGTGGGGAGATAGCTTGCATACCAACCATCCTGATCCTAATGTGAACACCTTGTATCATGAACGGCACAGGTTGATTCTCTCCCTCCTGCCCCCTGTATAGCTAGCTCATCATGAAATTTTTTTTTTCCTCCCCTGAAATATTCTTCTGCAGTACTAGTCAAACAATGAAATCCAGACAACTCTCTGGAAAGTTTAAAACAGCAAAAAATCTGTCCTTTATTTTACCAAGTAAATCTTTGTACCTCCTCTGCTTCTCTTTGCTGAAGAATTATTACACTGTGCAAACAGTATCGGTGTTTGGCACATTTCACAAATGCTAATGTGTATACTTTCTCCCCCCCACCTCCCCTCTTCTCCCGGTTTTCTTTCTGTTCTTCATTTGCTATTGGAATGGGAACTGTGGAAAAAATTCCTTGGCACTCTGACACCAGAATCCTTCATCTTGGAGAGACCACGATGATGCAACCTCAACGCACTCGGCAGGCACACCGGGGCCCTCCAGTGGGGGCCATGCTTCCCAGAGCGGAGACAACAGCAGCGAGCAAGGTAAAAGGTCAAACTTTTTCCCTCCTCAAAGTAGGCATGACTAAAATAACTGCAGCTTTTTTTATTATATCAGTACATCTGCCTTAGAGTAAACATGGAGTGGCAGACTTGCAGTATAATCAGCTGTAACTTAGGGAGACGGTATTTCCTTTTCCTAACCCACTTAGCTGCATTTTATTATTATTTCAAAGCGAAATATCTAATCTTCAAACAAGCTTTGTAATAACAATTGATTAGTTCTGCCAATTCCTTTACAAATTTGGTTATCTACAGTTTATTTTTGTGTGGTGTAAGTAAATATAATGACAGACATACTCTCCAGCTGTGATGCAGTTGTTTGAGCTGGGTTATAAATGGAAAATTTAACCTGTAGTTTTAGCTGGGCAAGAGACTCCTACATGATGTTATGAAGCTGCTAAATGATATAAAGTAGAAGAAAAACCCGAACTGGACAGAAAAATGTTTCTTGCAATGTTTGCTTGTACAGACTTGTTTCTGCTTCTGAAAATCTGAATTCAGAATGGTAAATAGAGATGTACCTGAACTGCAAAACCTCTGCTGGATCTATAGAGTGAAGCCTTCTCAAGCGTTCAGGAGGCTTGATTATTATTTCAGGGGTTTTTGTTTTATTTCCTACTGCATTGCACCTTGTGTGTGGTCATCTGCATCCATGCTGAGTGAGTGTCAAAAGCTGTCATTCTGATATGATAGTGTTTTACACTTGTTCATTAGAGGTATAAGTGACTCCAGAAGGCATAAGAGTCAAGCTTCCAGTGCTAAAAGTTGGGTAAAGATGGTCTACTGTCACTCTTGGATCTTGACTCAGAATTGATTTTTTTTTTTGTCTCTTTTGAAGACTAAAGTTTAAGGTGGGCTCTGTTCTTGTTTTTCTTTGTAAACATGGGAAGCCTCAGCTAGCAAGAGATTATCTTTATAAGGTCTTATGATATGCTCCCTCCATCTCGTGCATCTGCAGCATTTTGCCACTGCGTTTCCCCCACGTGAGGGTCACGCACACCCAACAGAGCCAACTGACAGGTCTGCCATCCAACTAGCCATGTGGGCTCCCAAAACTGGACAGGGGAGCAGCCTTCAGGGCTAGAGCTGCCGGGACGAGCCTCGCACTGGGGGAGCTTCCCACCGTGATATTTGCCAGGCTTAGGCGGCGGAGCAGATATGTGATTTCACGTCTCTCACGTGGCCCACTGCTTGGCACAGAGCTAGATCCCTTCGTCTGTCTCACGATCTGGTGTCGTACCCGTTGCAATTCGAGGAACTTGCAAAGTTTGTTTCTGGTAGAGTGGTTTGGATTTGTCTCCTATTTGTATGAATTGTTTATACATTTGTAATCTTATTGCTGATAGAAAGCAGCCATGGCATAGGGTGTGATCCAACTCCAACATGAGTCACGCGGGATGTTTTTTCTGTGCGGTTGGGTCAGAGCTGTACGAGGCCCAGCGTGGACTGTTACAGCTTCAGCAGCTAACGAAAAGGAGAGCTTGACTGCTAAGCAGCAAATCGGTGTGATGTCCGTTAGGTGGCCACAAGCTTTACTGTTGATCAAATGTTTACATCATATATTGTGGCTAAGATGCTTGGTGTAGCAGATGATCATTTGCATACTTAAAAATGATTCTTGTGAGTCATCTGCCACAGCATATTCATTCTACCCCTAGGTAAGAAATTTCCTCACACCTGTATCTCCACTCTGCCCCAGCAACCTCTTAGAAATTAGAAGGGTTTCTTCATCAATCCATGCTTGATGTAAAGATATCCCTCGTATCGACATCCAGGAATCTTGCATTTCACTAGTCTCCGATCGCTTGTCACGTAACTTGGGGTGCTTAAGAAATATTGCTCAGCATAAGAAAAAGTAGTTGATGACAACTGCACCAACTTCCCACTGGAGCCTGAGGTTTCTGGTAATATATATGATTTAAACAAACCTGTTACACTCATTTCTGCAGAAGGGGAACAACTGCTGAAGGGCCAAATCAGTCACTAGTGCTGCGCAGCCTAGCAGGGTAAAACCTCGCTAGTGTGCTTCCCTTTGTGCTCGGTTGGGCCTTTTAAAGGGAAGCAGTCGTCCAGTGGCAAATCAGCATTCCACTCAGCTGCTGGCAGCTGAAAGATGTATGATCCTACAGCACCAGCAAAATTCCCATTGGAGACAGCTTTGGATTGCTCTCCCCTTCTCAACCCTGGGAAAGACTAAAGAGAAGGAGGCCTGTATTGAATTTTCCTTATGCTTCTTGAGGGGGGCAGAGTTTACTTCGTAACTCATGAACTGGCAGTGAGTCAGTCCCAGGCAATGCCAAGATGGGTAGATGCCCTCTTGAGCTATTCTGGTGCAGTTACTTATTTGGGTCAACTTGGTTTCCCTGCAGTTTTGTCAAGACCTTCCACAAATGCTGCTTCAAATATTCCACTTGCCCCAAAGGATTTCTTGGGAATGGGAGATCATTAGAGAGTCTTGGGTTACATTAGCAACTTATGGTCTCCTACACTGATGCCTGGTGGCAGCAGAGATTGATTCAAACTAGAGTTCGTCTCTTCTGGCTGCTGGGAGCACTCTTTTCCGG